GCTGACATCGATTAAAGAACTATTGGAAAACCCACTAGGAGTGCTGCCAGAAAGCTGTTTTGCCCTAATTTGAGACTCTTCATAGCAAACACCCATCACTGGCGTTCAAATCCAGGACCTTCTGGTTACAAGGTGAGCTAGCTCGTAGACCATTAAACATCCACTGGCACCCGATCCAATGGTTAGTCCATGAATTCTAACTTATGCCAATACATGATATAGCCCGATCACTTCTCGCAATGTCTTCTTCGATAAGTAACTGTCCTTACCTTCAACCTGATGTACCCTATTGGTCACGATTTCCCACTAGAACCCACCCAGATAACCGGCTACCTGAATAGGGGCATCATATTAATTTTCAAGTATCGATGTCACCTCATGATGGAATCCTCCAACCGATAATGATTGACACTTGTTGTTGTCGTTGTTGGTTGGTTCATTAGTCATCTTAATCATCTCAGTCTTAGCACGAATTCGTGTACTTCCTGAACACCGATATGAGCTACATATTGATTTTCTAGATTATTTAACTGGAATTACCCCTGTGCACTAAATGGTTGTTTATTGAATGTAAACTGTAGAGACTTTAATTGGTGGAAGGTGGAATCCAAGGCAACCAACATTTCGTCCTATTTGGGACTCGTCAACTGGATGCACCTGAATGCGTCAGTAAGTCAGTGATGATGTCTCCCCCGCCGAGGCTCGAACCCAGTGACCACAGTTTCAAACACCAGCCAAAGTGTTATCCACTAGACCACTTGGGCCATGAGAGATGGCCACCTCTTGTACAACGGATCATATTAATTATTCAGTTGAATAAAGATGTTAAATCTCTCCTACTCTGACTTTAATCACTTTCCATTACCAAAAAATTAGTCAGTAAAATACCAGCCTATCTCATATTGTCTCATTAACAATCTTTCAGATGTCATAAGAGTCAATGAGTAATGAATGACATAGATTTATTTACTCTCCTAATGTTGGGTAATCAATCAATCAATCAATCAACCAATATACAAGCTCATTCTTCCTCTTCACTATAAATTACTTTCAATCTCATTAATTCATTATAGATTTTTAGTCATTTAGGATAGTCTGAAATGATCCTCATTCTAACTTGTAGGTTGATTGAAGGGCAAGAAATTATTGAAGACTTTCTGTGGATCACTCACTGGACAATTGTTCTGCTTCATTTCTGAGTTCCCTAAAAAAATCATTCGATCATAAATCTCCGTAAAATTCAGTGAAAGACAATTAAATCTTCTATAGAATAAGTGTTACCATCCCGACTTTGCATAAGCAGCTCGGCAGTTCACTATAATGAGATGCAATAAAACTCCCGAATCGACCAGATCTCCTGTCACTGAGCTACATACACGTTCTCGTTCTCGTTTTACTAGTCAGGCTAGTGTTCACGAACGCGTTTTTCAAGTTGGCGCATGGTCAGTCGATGTACTCAGTTCAACACGAACAAGTAAACTGGTATATGTATGTTGAAGTGGCCCAATGTGACAGCTTGTCTTTAGCCTTCTGGCTGAACAGTCTTTCGCAGGAAAACGTCAGTCGTAGGCTTGCGGCAAAATATGTTTTCCTCAGAGATTACCAGAGGCGTTTACAAAGTATTTCTGCTTCAATGTCACCTTTGAATTCTAGATTAGACAGAAATATCTTCTTCGTGCCCCTAAGCATAAAGAGGAACCTTATGTACGCTCTTTTTCCTCGAGGATTCTGAAGATATGCAGTGAGGAAGTCATTGACGAAGAATTGCGTAATCTCCGGAGAACCCTGATGGAAAACAGTTTTCCGAGTAAGTTCAAAGACAAGAATCTCAAATTAAAGAAGACTTCCGAAGAAGTCCGATCCGTCCCGAAGAAGATACTTATGCCTAATCTAGAATTCAAAAGTGATATTGAAACAGAAATCCTTCGTAAATGTCTCTGCAAATCTTTGAGGAAAACATATTTTACCGCAAGCCTACGACTGACATTTCCCTATAAGAAACTGTTCAGCAAGAACGCAAAAGACAAGCTGTCACATTGAGCCACTTCAACGTGCATATACCAGTTTACTTGCTCCTGTCGAGCCGAGTATATCGGCCGTATCATGCGCCAACTTGAAAAGCGCGCTCCTGAACACTATCCATCCTGACTAGTAAAAAGAGAACGAAAACGTGCATATAGTTCAGTGATAGAACATCTGATCAATTCAAGACATTCAGTGACATTCGACAAGTCCTTCAAAATCACATATAAGATTCTATGAAACCTATCAAAGGGAGTAAAATCAAGACAGCCGTGGCACTAGCCATCCAAAAGCTCAAACCCACGCTATGTTTCCAAAAGAAATATATTCAACCCTTGTCTTTTCCATGGCAATCATAAACAGACAATTCTTTTAATAATTACGTAATACTGTAGGTCTGTGCGTTGGTGGCATAGCGGTTAGGACGCTCGCCGACCATGCATATGGTCCGGGGTTCGATCCCCGGCCGACGCACTCCTCTACCTCGCCAAGCCATAAATAATGCTGGTAAAGAGGAAAGGTTGGGCATGAGGCTGGCTAGCAACCCCATCCTGTAAAAAATCAACATCACTGCTACAGAAACTTCAAGCCACTAGCTTGAAGCCCTATGTACCACTTGGGAACGTGAAGGAAAAAATAAATAAATACTGTAGGTAGACGATATGGACAGGTAATCAAAGTTTAAATAAATATCATAAAAGTATAAAAAAAAATAGAAAGTAAGAAAGTGTGAGAAGTGTTCCTAATTAAAATTTACCTTAACCAAGAGAGAGACAAAGAAAGGATGAAACAAACTTCTTTTGTATACAGAGGTGCTGGGACTATTTTCTCGAATTAATTCCCATAGCTTCGGCTGTGTGTAAATGCCGGGTTCAAATTCCATTCGAGAGGTTAGATAAAATGCTTCGCCTAGTTTATTAATGAATAGTATAAGCAAGGGAAGACTGACCGACAGACTTTGCACAGAAGTACAGAAGTTCGACTCCCCTCATTCCATTTATCACATAGAAGAAGATGAAAGACAGGGAAAAGTGATTCAAAACAACAATAATTAACAGAGATGTGAGAGGGAAAACAAAAACATGGAAGAAACATGACGGTTCAGTGGATATGAGAGGTCAAGAAGATTGAATGCATATGCAAGAGTGAGAAAGATTTTCAGCTATATAACCAGTTGTCTCCAGCCACTGGCCTTAGGATTCCCAAAATCTCAACCAGGAAGTCTACGTGGTTGACAAAAGCTATCTAAGATTTCGTGGACTGATTCTGAGTTTTGGTTTTAAGCGCCACTAGTTCTTTCCCAACCTGGATCTATCTCGGCGTCTAACACTGACCGTTGAGGATAGCGATGGATAGGCATATGTAACATGTGTCCTGACCATCTCAATCGATGTAGCTAGGCAACCTCATCGATCAACTCCGCCTCTTCTCCTAGCACTCGACACCTACTCTTAATATTACCCTACTATACCAGTTAACATGGGAAATAGAATACAGACACCTATGATCAAAGACTACTTAACTGGCCCTTTCGTGTCTTCCACTTTCCACATCCACAGTCATAAAGGAGGACAGAGTGGATTGTCGCAAAATACACACATCCTTTAATTTATAGTTGCATATCATATCTACGCCAGAGACGGCGTAATTTGGTAAAGTCCACACGAGCCTTTTGCATCCATGCTGAGATTTCGTCGGCAATTAGTCTGTTAGGGCTAATGGATCAGCTTCCCAAAATCAATGAAATGATCAACACGTTCTACAATTCACTCTCTATCTTTAAGAGCTAGGAGTTAATGTACTCCAGTCTAGTAGCATCATCTTACATCTGACGTGGGAACAAACCACACGCCGAGCATTCGAGGACTGCTACTCGATGTGGTTCAGAACACCCTGCTGCCTATATCATCCACACATACTCCAAGTACATCTATGATGAAATCAAAAGAGGGAAACTTGAGCATGAGGCTAACAAATTTTCCAAAATCACCGTTTACCAACCATATAAGTGGTTCTTAGTTCGATTTCCCGTCGACATCCTCCTAAATCTCGCTTAAGCGGAGAAGAAGGGAGGTTGAGTGTGAAGCTAGTAACTTCCCATCAAAAAAAAAGAGAATACTACCTCTACTGAAACCTCAAAAATCGGAAACTTGAATTCGTATATTCAACTCAGAATTCAAGGACCATATAAAATATATATATATGAACACGTACAACAGCAACAACAATCAGCATAAATGGGAGGAACTTGAAAGAAACAACCTCCTTTACCTACTGAACTGGGAAGCATCATTTCAACTACGGGCGGATGGAGCTGATGAGGATATCAAAGCAGCAAGGACCAGGAAAGCAAGACAAGCTTTCATCACTCTCATGTCTCCGAGAAGGTCAACACTCAGTAATCAGCATCAAAAATAAGATCCGGATTTTCAACTCCAATGTAAAGTCAGTGCTACTCACTATACGGATCAGAAACTTGGCCAGCGCGTCATAAAGAGCATCTCCAACAAACTAAAGACCTTCATCAACAGCTGTCTTCGCTCAATACTAAAGATCAGATGGCCGGCGAGAAAATCTCAACAACAGGGATCTCTGGCAATGAACAAACGAACCAACCCACCATGGACCGATTGTGCAACAAATAGGCAGGAAGAAGTGGAGATGGATTGTCCATACTATGAGAAAACAAACCATCAAGTGACATCACTAGACAAGCCATCGCTCGAGTGGAACCCGAAAGGGAAGCGGTGAGTTAGTTGGTCAACAGTGCAAGGGTGACATAGAGGAGGAGGTCATGTGAAGAGGAGATGAATGTGTATGGACAGACTTGGAGCCAGGTGATGAAAACTCTAGCAGAGAACCGAACGCAATGAAGACGTGCTCGGCTGAAACCCTATCTATGTTCCTCTAGGAATTAAAGAAAATAATAGTAATAATAATAATACTACAAAAACTAAATACTCCCCTTTACTACTTACTCATATCTATCGATTGATTGTAGATATCATTTAAAGACCAAAATTTTTTTATCCTTTCTGAAGAAGTTGAATAATCAATATGTTGCAAACGTTCTGTAATCATACTAGACGAGTTATTCATTAAAGATGAATTTGTATTCCCGCTGGTTTTCAGCTTATTCATGAGAAGAAATTCATTAGGTAGAGAATATTGTTGTGTATATGACATGTCAGGTACAACATTCTTAGTAGTACTGTTACTATCAAAATATTCATTCCTTGTAAACATATTTGGATACCAGTTGGTTTCATTGAAATGATTATTAAGCAGAGTAGAATTTGAATTATTATTACTACTAACCATACTACTGACAATATGATCATCAGTAGACGTCATGGTAGTGTTCATTTGATCATGATGATAACACCAAGGAATAAATTCACGATTTAATACTTTCAACAAATTTACATTTGAATCATTCTGAAAGGATCCAATTGGTGTAGATGCTGACATTGTCGGGGAAGATGTTAGCAGTTGATGGAATGGATTCACAGTTTTATTAGATGATGCGAGTGGAATTAATTTAGCCTTATCAGGATTATTATATCGTTGAGGATTACTCGGATGAGGGAGAAATGAACAGCCGTCTTCTTCTATTGCGTCTTCTTTTTCGTCCTTTTTATACAACTCATGATTCTGATTACTCTCAGTGAATTTATCCAGATGAAACAGTCGACGGGTAGTCGATAGGATGTCATTACAAGGAATCACTGTTGCTGTTGCTGTTGTTATCGGTGAATAGATTGAAGCGTTTAGATTAGATCTGAGATATTTATTATTCTGTGGTGAATATGTACAACTGTTTACACTATTAGTACTATTACTACTTACACTACTCCGGCTACTACTACTATTATTATGGATATGAGTAGTATCTACTGGAGGATTTGATAATGATTTCATTTGTAATTCATATAGTTTTTCATTAGATGAGTAATAATTACAATTATTATAATTATGATGATGGGAATAGGCTTTAAAATCATTATGAGCATTACTCATATTAGTATTATTCGATGATGACATCAAGGCGAATGGATAAATATGCGAAGGGAATTTATTCAGAGAGCAGAGACATTGATTTGGCGTTGTACAACAATTATTGCATCCTCCACGTAGATAAGACGTTGTCAATGTCATAGAATTTGGTTGTAGCATAAATTCTCCCAATAACAGCAACAACCAAAATATCCGTCAGAAATATTCAGAAAACTAAGAGAATCAGAGAGAGAGAAAGTCAGTAAAATATAAAAATGAAATTTGTATGTCAATAAGGGTTTAAATATTTGTAACTTTCCCTTTCTTCTGACTATATTTTAATTCCCTTTGTGTGTGTGTGTGCGCGCACATGTTGCTTTTCCCCCTCAACTCACTTATGTGAAGGATGAAAATAGCTTTTCAAGTGAAACAACGATTTTGATTGGTCCTTAGAGGAGAAATGTGTAAATCTCAGATGCTGCGTGGGTGTATGTGTGAATTTTTGTGCACCGGAATTAGTTGTGTGTTTGAAAGTTGTTAGCACACACACTAAAATGGGAGAGGAAGTATTAAAGAATTATGGGGAAAAGGGAGAATGTGAAGTGTGTAAAGTCTACAACCACCTGATTGTGTGATGTGTGTGTGCGTACATATGTGGGTGTGTGCTTATTTGTCCATTGTAGTGTATTTCTCTGGCCAATAGGAGTTGTTCTGTGATGGAGATTTTGTAGAATTATCTATCTATAATTGGTTTGTAAGGATTAGCTTTTGTTTTTAAGAGTTTGATCACTGATTGATATCAGTTAGAGAACCATTGAAAACCAGTTTTGGAGTATTGGACAACTGTTTTCCCCCGTCCTTATTTGGGACTCATTGGCAATACTCACCCACCGCCAGGGTTCGAACCCACGACCTTCCGGTTACAAGGCAAGCTCTTAGGCACCCAATTCAATGGCCAACACATGAATTTTAACTTCTACCAATTCATGATTAAGCGCGACCTGGCCCCAACTAATGTGCGTCCGTGGCACAGTGGTTAGGACTCTCGTCGACCATGCACATGGTCCGGGGTTCGAGCCCGCACCGACGCACACCTGATATCTATGGTCGGCCTGCAAAATTTGGGCTACCGATATCCATGCTGAAAATTCCATACTTGTACCGAAAATACAGTGTGGAATCAAGCTGTAAATCAAAAAGAAATGTCATCGGTGGGAGATCCATCCTCACACTTGGCATATGGATGAACCTCAGTGGTCACGACTTCTCACCAGAATTCTTGGAAACTCCGTCCTGTAACCAGTAGTCACTAGCGAGCATCGGATTAATTTTCAAGTATTGGTTTGTAAGAATTAAATTTGTTTATACGAGTTTGACCAGAGACTGATATCATTTAGAGAACCACTGGTGAAAACCAGGGAGTGCTGCACAGCTGTTTCATCCTAGTTTGGTAATCATAAGCAGTACGCACCGACTGGCTTTTTTTCTTCTTCACGTTCCCAGTAGAACATAGGGACTGAAGCTAGTGGCTGGAATTTCCTGTAGCAGTGGTGATTATTTTTACAGGATGGGGTTTCTGGCCTCATGCCCAACCTTTCCTATTTACCAGCACTATTTCTAGTTTAGCGAGGTAAAGGAGTGCGTCGTTGGCCGGGGATTGAACCACGAACCATGTGCATGGTTGGCGAGCGTCCTAACCTCTATACCCCCAGCGCACACCCACTGGCTTAATTAATAAATTTTCAAGGTTCACATAAAATGAATATACTGCTGACATATTGGAGTGAATAGTTGTATACCTCAGAGATCAAAGTGATATAACCACCGGAGGGCCATTTCGCTCGTTTGAGGGTTGAGGAGCAAACTAGGAATCAGACGGTTTGAATTGATTCGGCTGCCTGAAGTGAGTTAAACTTGGTCCACCACTGACGAGCTTGGCGCGAAACTAAAGAAACAGCTGCCGGATGTTTAGATAGCTTCCTTCTGGCTGGTTTTTTTTAATCGCTACTGGTTGTTGATGTGAGGCGTATACATCTACCCACATCTCAATCAATTTACTTTTTTATTCCTTTAAGTTCCCAATGGAACATAGGGCGGCTTCAAACTAGAGGCTTGACGAGTTGGTAGTAGTGGTGTCCATTTTTACGGAATGTGGTTGCTAGCTGGCCTCATGCCCAACCTTCCCTCTTTACCAGTCTTACTACTTACTGGCTTAGCGAGGTAAAGGAGTACTTCGTCGGCCAGGGACTGAAATGCGGACCACCTGTGTGGTCGGTAAGCACTCTGCCTCTGTGTGTCATCGATGCACATCTCAATCGGTTAGTAGAATATAACAACAAACGTAACGACCAGATTTACTTAGTTATGATGTGAACTCAAGAAATCGATCTATACGTTGTACTTAATAGCCAATAAAACTTCGTTGAGAAGCGTGTGATATTGTAACAGCAGAAGACAGGACACGGAAGTCAAGGTAGGGATTTCTTTAAGTGATCAAACAGCTACTCATATCTATACAGTTTATATTCGTTAACCAATCAATCAATGAGCTTGTGATTTTGGTTTACCGCATTAATTTTTTTTAAATAATAATAACAGCTTTATTCCAAACAGTATTTGTGGTACAGGTATGGAATTTTCAGCGTTCATTACAGTATATTGCATCTAATTACCTCATAAATTATATAAGATTTTTAAAATCAAAAAATAAATAAAAACCAACGCCAAAAAATAAAAGATAAATAAAAATTTAAAAAAAACAGCGTGGAGTTTACATTTCAAACAACGCACCACAGGATATGAAATGTAAAGTTAGTGTGTAATAGAAGATGTCAACAACCATATAATAGTAACGAGGAAAGGAAAACAAAAACTAATGGGACTATTTGTTAGAGTGCCGCAGTAAGTTTATCGTGTCATACCTAACGGATTTCTCATCACATAACAACTGTGCCAGATATGGTATTGTGGAGATTTTGTATTTGGTGGTCCTAGCATATAGCCGCCTATAGCTGCTTCTAGTTCTACCAGATGAAATGCAAGGAGACAGCTGCGTATAGAGAGGATGCTCTGGGTCTGACAATATTGTATTCGCTAGTTTCTTACATGACATAATATGTCTATCTACAAGAGTGTTAACGAGTTGGTTTAACGATATCCCACTAACCCTACTCTAACGGCTTTTAGTGCCCTTCTCAGCAAAGCAAAGTCTTTCTTAAGTAGTCCAGGAAAGACTAATGGGGAGCAGTAAAGGAGGATGGGTAGAATACAAGAATTTACAAATTGAGAAAGTAAAGACTGCTTTATGCCAGACTACCTAAATTTCCTAATGTAGAACGTTAAGCGAAACATCTTTCTAGTAACTAGCAAGATGTGGGAGGACCAGGAAAGATCGGTGGAAAAACTCAGCCCAAGGTACTTGACATTAGATGTATTTTCAACCTCTGTGCCGTCAATGATAGTGGGGCCATGTGAGCTAACTGGTTGCTGTAGGTCACATTTACGTCTGAAACTGAAAGTGACTACCTGACATTTAGACGGATTTAGCTTAAGACCGTTTGAAGAAGACCACTGACTAATTTCCGACAGAAAGTTATTTAATTTGGAACAATCTGACTGAGAGTTGACAGGCATAGAAATTGAGAGGTCATCGGCATACTTAACAAAAGTGGCTACATCAGACATGAAATAGAATGTTCAAATACACATAGTATAGTATTCTGTTGCTAATGCACTCAGTATTCAAGTGTGGGAATAGTATTCAGACGTTAACACCAACAAATACAATTATTCTTATTGCGAGAATAATATTCCGTTGGAACCCATTGGCTGTATCACACCACTACACTATCAGGAAACGTTCCAAAAACCCAGGGAATAGACAATTATTCTTCAATATTTTAATGGTTCTATTGAAGGAGAATAATAATGTCAAAACTCAAATTTACCTCAAAAGTGCTATGAGGTAGCGAACTATGCAGGTAGGCAATGTAGGTTTCTAAGTTCAACTGTAAAAAAAGCACCTTAGAATCGAGAAGGATAATATTCCTGACGATGGGGGATCTAAAGCTCTCCCCACAAGAATTACACATCAAGGCTACCCCAACGGACAGTCCCGGGGAGGGGGTAGAGTAACCTTTATTTACTCAAACAAACTCAAACTGTGATGCAACACACCAAGTGTACCTGCAATCACAAAGAGCAGTTTTACAATTAAAGAATAAACTAGGACAAAGGAAAATGATAAAGGTCAAAGTCAATATATGATATTGCAAATGTCAAATTAGTGGTACAGAGTATAGGTGAAAAATGTACAATAATTACAAAGTTAGTTGAAGTATCTAAATAAGTATATATATATATTATATACCCACCGACAGGGTTCGAACGCAGGACCTTCTGGTTACAAGGCTAGCGAGCTCGTAAACCATTAAGCCATTGGGACTTGACTCTCCAATAGCCAGCTCATGAATTCTAACTTAGGCCAATTCATGATATAGCGAAAGCGATAGCCAATGTCTTCGGCGAATATTTGTCCTCACACTCGACCTGCTGCACCCTAGTGGTTACGACTTCCCACTGGAATCCCAGGTAACTACCTACCTGAATAGGACCAGTCTCCAGTGAGCATCTCATTAATATTCAAGTATAGGTTTGTAGGGATTTGGTTGATTGGTTATACGATTTCATCATGAGATGACTTTCAGGTTTTCTAATAGTTCATTAAGCGATGTCGGCTCATGATAAAATCCTGTAACTCATCAATTAAATCCCTATAAACCAATACTTGAAAATGAGTTTTAACGAATGCATGAAAGCAAAGAAAGTTAGACTCTTTAGATGTTAGAGTTCTTTAAGAATTTGAATTAATTGCAATGGTTAGAATTTCATCATGAACCAAATAAAACAAGTTAGGAGGATCATTGAAAATCAACAACTGTTTCGTCCTAACTTCCTACTCTTCATCAGTAAGCACATGCAACTTCATCACCATGATCCAAACCTTAAACTTTCAGGTAATATGTGACCATATTCGTCGTCCACTCAACTACATAAGCAAAAATTCAATGACCCGTGAATTTCAGCTTTGTTAATTCCCCTGATACAAACCTACAAACAAATGCATATACATATATAACCTTACACTAGCTAGCTCTTAACACATCAAGTTAACACTCGCA